CCATGGTGTTTTTCATTTCCTCATATGCATGTGAAAGCTAGAAAATGAATAAGGAAAATGAAAGAGTTGATACCTTTGAATTGTGGTATTGGGAAGAACACTGGATAGACCATGGACTTCTGGAAGAAAGAACAATGTGTCTTAGAAGAAACCCAGGCAGCCTGCTCTGTAGAGGTAATGATGGCAAGACTTCATTTCACACTCGTTGGACGATCAAGAGGGCCTAGGCCCTAGAGAAGCGCCCCATGCTTGATGAAACAGAGGATCAGCAAAAAGAGGAAGACCCTCAACGAAATGGACCGACCCAGTGGCTGCAGCTGTGGGCTCAGCGTGGCAACGATGGTGAAGGTGAAGCAGAAACTGTGTGTCCTTCGCTTACAGTTGGACCTAACTCAATGCGCTTGACAAGAGCAACAGTCTGCTAATACAGGCACACCTGTGATTGTGTTGGACCTGTTCACTCTTTGTCAAAGAGCAGGACTAGAATTAACTACCCATATTTTAGAGACTGGCAGGTCAGGTGACGTGCTGGAAAGCCGCTGTTAAGGAGAGGAGGCCGGAGCAAGTCCTGGCTAGTCCAAAACCAGGATCAGTGTTGTGTTTGTTAAACAATCACATAATGGAATCAGGGTTCAGGAAGGCCTTGAGATCAGTGAGTAAGTCCAGGTGGGAGAAATAGAGAGACCGCCAATAGGGCGAACAGAAAAACCCTGTCTGGGAGCTTCAGACACCTTGATTCACCTTTGCTGATGGTCTTTTTAATTCTGTGGAGTATGTTCTGTTCCTCACCGCCTTGCCCTGTGTCTGCGTCTCCTAGGACGCCCCCGCCCTCCCAGGGAGAGAGCGGTGGTGGGCTCACAGCGGGAGCGCACTGAGTACTTGGCCGAACCCATGACTTTGCCGACTCTTTACCTCTTCCTGGAATGGCGCTCTTGGCAAAGTCCTGCCTATCGGAGTGACACTGGAGCAGCTGCTCTATTCATCAAGAAGGCTAATTTGCCCTTTTATTTGATGTCTGTACCCAAACAGGCACAGCTGACCCACCAGTTCATCTTGTGAAATCTCTCTGAATCCACAAACTGGCCAAACTGTTGGTTCCTTAAGTTAGCGAGTGTTTGACCAGATCCCATGAGTCGGCCAGGCTTTTGGGTGTTTATGGTCCGGGTGCTCTTCTTTGTATTTCAGCTGAAATATTTTCAATCAGTATTGCTTCTTCACTGATAATCAATCCGAGAACCACAGATGAAACAGTTGAGTTGTGATAAATAAAAGGTTTTCTCCCCAAACATGTCGCATATCCATCAGCTTCTCTCCAGTTCCCTGTTCTCACCTGCTTCCACACTTCACCGGGCTCTCACAGGTACACTGACTTGAATTTTTCCTTCTTTCTTAAAGACAGTGTTTTTCATTGATAATGACTTGACCTCACTGCAAAGACCTTTCCCTCTAAAGTATTAGTCTTACATTCTTGCATTCTGCGTCCTCTCTGATTATCTCCCCTGCCCCCACGACACTGATCAGAATCCCCACGTTGTATCATTACTTCCCACAATCCCTCAGTGCCTCTTGTTCCCTCTGTCCCACCATCCTCTCCCTTCCTGTCTTCTCAGCCTGCTCCCGACAGATGCTGCCCTTGCAGTCCTGTGTGGCTGGTGGTTCTAGGGACCTGCTGCCTCCCTGGTCCCTGGTGTTATTTTACTGCTTGACTTTTTTTTTTTGTCACCACTTTTTAATGGTATAAATCCACATGTGCACGGTCTATATATGTAAATTGTGTAACTCCGTGGTTTCGGCTCCCTCAGGGAGTTGGACCAGCACGTCACAGTCCATCTTTAAACACTTTCTAAACAGAAACCTTGTGCCCCCTACCGCTCATCCCTCACCCTTGCCCCTTGGCAACCAGCCCCTCACTTTTCTGTCACCATGGATGTGCCTGTTCTGGACGTTTGACATAATGCAGCTGTCGCCTTCGCGTTCACCTCCACGCAGCCGCCGTGCCGTGCACCCTGGGAGCAGCACAGGACACCCTGCTTCGCCTCACTTGAGCCTTCGGTCCTGGGTGCCCACAGCTCAGAATAGCCGGAGAGGAAATCAGGGTGCCAGCCTTCAGCACCAGTGCACCAGCCTCCAAAGGAATGGCCAGGCTTTTGCCAGCAAACCCCAAGGTCTATCACTTAGAAAAGTGACCATTTTATGTGAAAATGTGTTGCTTGCCAAAACTAGGCAGACATGTGCCAAATACCCTTCTGACTGAGCGTTCCCAGCGGACAGTGGCCCAGGGCCCCTCGCTTTCCCCCAGGTGTTAGCTCCGCATCACGGTGCCGGCTACTGAGGAGATGCCTCCGGTGATGTGTGAACAGGGGCTGCCAAGGGCCCGGCCAAGGGGCTTTTATTCTCAGAACGAGACTACATGGAGGAAGTGGGTCCAGCTGAGGTGGGGGAGCAGAATGACTTAAGTGAGAACCCCACCCCCCCCAGAATGCCAGTGCTGACGGGGCCCTGGGGTTGTCTGGGCCCAGGTTGTCAAGTAGAGCCTGGCTCTGTCCTTGGTGGGGAAGGGGAGAGCCTGGCAGCAGGGACTCGGGCTCTGCCACCTCGCCCTCAACAGATCCATCTACGTATTGTTTGTTTTATATAATGGGGTCTGTATGAGCTCGGAGCCTACATGAGCACGGAGCCCACAGGAGCAGGAGCCCACGTGAGCCTGGAGCACGGAGTCCACATTGAGTACAGAGCCCACATGAGCACGGAGCCCACATGAGTGTTGTCTTAATCACAAAGGCTGGAAAACTTAAAAGTTGGCCATTCTCTGCTGGTAGGAGGGAGATTGCGTCCCAGGCTGGGGGCCTGTAGTCTGAGCCTTGAGTGGTTGGGAGGAGCTGGAAGGCTGTCCCAGCCTTTGTGAGTCATAGCAGTGCTCTTTGCACCTTATTCTACCCTGTGAGGCAGGGAGCTTGGAAAAGCCTCAGACCCATCCAGCCCCCGCCCCTGACCCTGTGATCGTGTCAGTAGTGGAGATGGTAAGGTTCTGCCTCAAACTTTTTCTAGAAAAGACAGTTTTTTATTGCAGTATGAAGTTTTGCAACACAGAGTCTTCATTCAGCTATTCGTTCATACACGTTTTGTTCAGTAACATTCACTTCAGTATGAGCTGCACGTCTCCCATTTCCTTCCTGGAATTCTGATTTCCATGAATCTCTTTATTCCTCTATCTCTTCCTTTTCTTTACTGGTATTGTGCTGACCATCCGTCTAACGTTTATTGCCTTTCCCTTCTTAACGTGTCTTTTATTTATTTACATTTTTACTCCCCCTCTCTCCCTTCCCCTTCCTAGTAATTATCCAACTTTAATTCTTTCTGTGTAAAAGCTTTTCTTTAACTTTCTGTTATAATGGTCTTGGATAATATTTGTCCCTTTACAACTGACTGACTTGACTGAACACAATAATGTCCAAATGCATCCACGTTACGAAGTGTTTACCAAATTCTTTGCTGGTGTTCAGTGTTGCGTAGTACTCCATCGTGTGAATATACGTACCATAGTCCCTTTATGTGTTCAGTGTTGCATAGTACTCCATCATGTGAATGTATATACCATAGTCCCTTTATTGATCCATTCATTGATGGGTGTTTGAACTATTACATCCCTTTTCTATTGTCAAGAATTCTGCAGTGAGTGTGTGTGTGTGTGTGTGTGTGTGTTGGGGATTGGGGTGTGTGTGTCTGTCTGTATCTAAGTCCATATTTCTTTAGATTATCTGCTAATAGCGGATATGCTGGATCAAATGGTATATCTATTCCCAGTTTTCTATAAAAGTGCCAAACTGCTCTTCATAATGGTTGCACCATTTCACATTCCCACCGGCACTGTAGGTTCAAGTTCTCACCTCTGCGTCGCCAGCAGCATCTGTTGTTTGCTGTCCTCATGAACTTGCTCTTGTTGCTCGGGGGAGGTGATATCTCATAGTTATTTTTATACCATTCAACCTTGTCTTTCTTTTAGTTACTATGTTCTATGTAACAGTTCCTTTTTATACAGTTCTTATACTTTATTTCATTCATGTACATTGTGTTTTATACAATCGCTTCCATTCACTGTTTTATAGAATTAATTGCTATTTAACTATGACTTTTATCATCCATCTCATTTTACCTTGCAAGTCCCTGTCACACCTTGCCTTCACACACACCCTCGTCTGCCCATCACACTCCCTGATCTCAAAACCTACTACTCAGCTGTGGTAATGCGGTATTGGTACAGTGGCAGACACATAGAACAATGGAATAGAATCAAGAACCCAGAAATCAACCCATCTACCTATGGTGAACTGATGCTTGGCAAGAAAGCAAAACCCATTAAATGAGGAAATGACAGCCTCTTTAACACATGTGCTGGCAAAACTGAGAACTCACCTGTAGAAAACGGAAACAGGTCTCACATCCTATGCAAACCCACATCACTGCTGACCTGAGACCTAGGGGTAAATGATGCCACCACCAGCCTCGCCTCTGAGGCAGGCTTCCCCTGTTCTGACCCCAGTGCCCTCTCCACCCAGGCCTCCAGGCCTCCACGCCTTGCTTCCTGGGAAGCAGCGGTGCATTTTCACCTGTAGAGGCCTCTTGTCTCGTGCCTGACCATGGCATCTGGAGACTAGTCAGAGCCCACTGGGTCAGATAGCTCCACGGTGCCATTCTCTCCCAGCCCCTTCTTGGTGCTGGCTTCCTGGGGATGTGTTGTGTAACACACACACACACACACACAGGAGCCAGCCTGAGACTCATGCACATTGGTGCTGAGATGCCAACAGGGCACAGGGGTACGTCTGCTGGAGTCAAACCACCCAGGGCACAGCTCAGCCGGGACACCCTTATGACCTTGGGCAACTATGTTGACCTCTGTTTCCTTATCAGCATATTGAAGAATCTCCTGAAGCTGTGTCTGAATAGTCTCTGGGGTTTGGTGCCTCCCCCACCATTTCTGTCTTCATATGGATTGCCAGATCTTCAAGAGGAGGTTCTTGAGAGCAGGCGTGAAGGCGAGATGTTCACCATGCCGTTGGGCCCTTTGCTGCACCAGGCCTGCCTGTGGGCGCTGGCACAGTCAGGACAGATCAGAGCGATGCCCGGTGAGCCAAAGGTCTGGGCATGATGAATACTGCTGTCTTCCCTGCCAAGATGTGAGTTTTAGCCAACCCACAAATCCATCAGTCATAACTAACTCTTACCACATGGTGGAATTCCACGGAGCACTCAGGAGCAATGATTCCGAAAATTACTGCGTGACTTAGAGATACGGGGGAGCACTATACCGAGTGAACTCAGTCTCATAAGGATAGATACCACATAAGACCATTACTGTAAAAATAGATAACTAGTAAAACGTGTATGGGGAAGGGAATGAGAGAAGAGGGGTGAGGTTGGGTGGGGAAATCACGGGGCGGTACAGTTTGGTTACTGGAAGAAGGGGGTGAAGGAAATGGGAAAGGTCCGTCAGGCATCTGAAAAGACAGGGTGATGGTGGAATAGGTCAGTAGTGATTCATTTTATAAAGGAGTGAATGAAACGGTGAAGAGTGTGAATCAAGGAAAGGGTGAAATACAGTGTATATGAATTTTGTATACCAGCCCATATGAAAGAAAACTAGTTTTAAAGTAACTGTTGCATATCTGCCCTTGAGTCTGGAAGGACCAGCGGGGGGTTGTGGGATCTCCTTGCGAACTTGTATTTTGAGGTTGAGCTACAGCTGCTTTCCCTCTTCCCGTTTATGGGTAGACCCAGGTAGTGTCCAGATTAAAAAGATCACATCAGGCGAGCTCTGTGGCCCGGTGACAAGAAGCTGCACTGCAATCCCAGAGATACGTGGTTCAAATCCACCAGATGCTCTGCTGGAGATGGAAGGACAATCTCCTCCTGTACCAGTCAGACCAATTTGATGGTACACACACACACACACACACACACACACACAAAAATAAATAAATAATTTTTTTAAAAAATCATATTGCTGCATTTCATTTTCTCTGGTAAATTACTCTTACTGACTCCTGGATAATCTTTACTGCTTTTTTTAAAGCCTAAGGTTTAAGATAGAGATTAGTGATAATTAATTAGTAGCTAGGTGGGTGGCCCCATTGGTTGGGAAATAGATATATGAGTGGGTGAATGGATAGATGCATCTGTGAGTGGGTGCATGAGAGCATGATGGGTGGGTAGATGATTGAGTCTGTGGGTGGGTGGATGGATGGATGGATAGATGAGTGGGAGA